CATCTTCCGGTACTCTTCGATCACGTGGGTGTAGTAGTTGAGGAACGTGTCCGGCGTCCTGTGACCGGCCGCGCAGTCTCCTCTGCAGTAATTAGCGTAGTATCTGCCGAGGAATATGAGCGATTGAAGCGTTCGTACGCTCTCGAAGTGTCGGAGATCTATTTGAGAACATGTATGTTTTGCTGGGAGATATTGTATTATACGATTCGCTGCTTATTTACCCCTGAGGAGCGATAATCCAGTCGTCCCACCCCAGCTGAGAGAAGCTAACGTAGAATCTCTGCTTGCAGCACTGGCCCTTTATCGCACCGCTGCACTCGATCGCCCGTCTTCTCACGCGCTTCGCGGCCGCTGGATCCGTGCGTACGACTAGAAACGGCCTGTCCGGATCGTGATCGCCTAAAAGGAGATGTTTTTATTGCCTGTGAGTTTCTGCATAATTCGTAGACCACAATGATACTGTTATGAATAATTTAAAAAATTGTATTTATTCGATCGACCACGTCAGATCATTTATAGTTTTTTTTTTAGCGGCTATTCGCGTCGCTTGTTTCGAGATTCTTTAATTTTTATCGAGACAAATCATAGAATTAAAAATTAATATTCTACATATTTTTATCAAGTGAATGAAATTTATATGCAAGTTCGCAAATTATTAAGCGGATTGGATATCGAACTCTCTTGCAGGATTACCTTTCGGATTTAAGGACGACTCGATTACGTGCGGCGAGTGCCCGTCGAAGGTCGATACGTGGACATGCGAGCCGCACCCGCTGCAGTCGACGAGCAACGTCAGCTTATCCTTCGAGTAGCTCGTCGTGTACCATCTGCTGACGACTTTCGTCACGTCGAATTTCTGCCAGCCAAGCTGGCCGATGTTCACCACGAGAGAGGTCACCATCTCTAGGTGTTGTCCGAGTTCCTGCGGATCAGATCACTCACCTCAGGTAAAACGTTCGATTCTAAACACGTCGGAGGATAAATAAATCTGAGGATAAATTTTCCCTGCACGCTCAACATCAACGGTGTCTTAATAACTTTTTTTTTTTAAATAATTATTGCAGCAAAATCTTATGCATTTATTAATTTTAGCAAAATTATATACTTGCATTGCATTAAACCACTTGTCACAGTCAAGAAGAAGTGGTCAAGTTTCGAATTAAAAGATCACGAAATTTCGATATATCAAATTTTATCATACTTGTACGAATTATTGATTACGGGACGGATTACCTTGCCTCGGAGATGAGTCGTGTTACCGCAGTGCACTCTGAACACCCAGAGAGTGATATTCCTTAGATTGATCTGACTGTGACGATGATGCTGATAGTGATGGGCGTGCTTGAGCTCTACTCTTGCCCATAACGTAGCCCTTTTGATTCTCAGGGGTTCCAATGCCGGCTCGCCGCTCGACATCGGGAATTCTAGCAACGGCTGCCCGTTCAACGTGCGTCCTATAAACAATAGGTATGTAAAATATATGTATTTTAATTCGAGAACATCAAAGTTAAATTGAATTGAATTAGGGATTTAATTGAATTGATCGTGCAATTTTTGATAGCAGCTTGAATAACTTTACTTCAATCTTCTAATTCGAGATATGAATTATTATAACCCAAAGGATGTTATCTCGCGTTATTGTATATTTCACATCAAAATTTCACAAACTTATGGTAGCGCAAAAGTAAATGTTTGGCTGGAATATTTAAAATACAGTGATTTACATATTTTTGATAAGTTGGTAAATCGCGGATATCCTTGTTTGAATAAATTTTTATCTCTACAGCTCGCACGCGAGCAATTAGCATTTATGAAAGGAATGCATCCTGAAAAAGAAATGTTGACTAAGTAACGTGCACGCAACGTGCGCAACTGTTAAGTTCCAGTGTACACAATAAAAATGTCGCGTCTGCATGGTCAGGGTAGATTTTTCCAGACTTTGTTCTTTTTTGTCTCTTTCACCGTCGACTATGTAGTAGAAATTACACACCGGACTTCATTCATATACAGGGTGTCTGAAAATCTTTGATCGAAGTTTTAATAAAAGATTCTTTGATGAACGTAAAATAGACATTTATTTTTAACAAAAATTGCGCAAAAAGAGTACAACTTTTCGATATTTGATATTAAAGTATAGTTTTACAGTCAAGTTCAAAATTAAAATGTTGAAAAAGTAAAATTCACTTTAAATGGATAATATTACTTTTAAACAATATGTTATTATTCAATTATTGTGTCCTGAAAGCTGTGTTTCCAGCTTTCGTCAAATGAGATCAAAGAATGCCGGAATTTTTTCACTCTTTTGCATCAAAAACATTCAATATCTCGTTATTTGAAATAAGAGGAAGTCTGCTCGAATTTGATCCTGGAAAAATCCATCGTTGCAATTTAAGGTCCGCGCTTTCCTAGCCACCCTTTATATGCGCGCGTACACACGCTTACACGTACTCACGCTGCGTTCAACGTTCGTTCACTCGAAAGCACCGCTCTTCGCCTCTTTTTCTCTCTTTCTCCCTCTTTCCTCTCGAAAGGGTGTACGTGTGCACCTGCACGCGCTTGTGTGGCGCGCGTGGAGTGAAAGCAGGGCGGCTTCATCCTTTAACGGTTTGGTGAGTCACGGACCGGGGTGGGTCGGCGTGGGGATAAGCACAGGGTGTCTGCCGCCCGTCTGCCTTCTGCCTTTCACCGCACACCCCTCTGCTGTAACCCGCCACCGTCGCCACCGCCGCCGCCACCGCCACCACCCACCCACACCCTCGTCTCCGCAGTCAACTAGCCCGCCGTTGCGCGCGCTATAGCGGCCGATATACACGCGATTACATCGCCGTGCTCGTCGTCTTTGCGATAGTCGGGCGGTCAGGCGCGATAACTCGCCAATGTAATGACTCGTGAACGCGATGACTCGCGGCGATTCGTAATGTCTCGCGAAGAGGCCTCACTCGCGACGGAGGATCATTCCGCGTTCGCGATATATTTTTCGCGCATATCCTTGCGAAAGGATTCGAGCTTCGATTTTTATGATAGTTTAACTAAGTATACATGTAGATATGTACGAAGCACAGTGGAATTTCTTCCGCTGGATTATGGTTTCGCGAAAGCATGTACAATTGCAGATCCGAGAGCTAAGCTGAAGCGAAAGGAAACGAAATTATGCCGGAAACGAAGGGATATAAACTAAAAAGAACCTAATTTCGACTATCTTCGGAGACAGAGTAGAATGTAAAAAAAAACGCGTTACGCGAAAAAGTTGACAATGTCGCGAACTGTTCTCGGAAAGAAGCTAAGAAAGAGATTTCGATCAATTTTGCGAAATTCGGGGAGAGCAGTGGAACAATGTCGATAATCGTAACGCTCTCGTCTTTCACGAAGGCACCACGCCCGAGCGTACACGACTCAATTCTCCTTCCCTTGCGAGATAAAATGGAGATACCGGAACATACGTGACATAGATTTTTAATGATAAAAGATCGCCGTGAACAACTGCACGATACTGATTGATTTTCGAGAATATTTGAGAAGGAATGTAAAAGAAATTAAATTATTTAATCACGTAAGATCTCAATGTGTGTGTCTTGCTAATTTTTTCAATTTTTTAATTTACAATTAAATTATTCAATTTTAAGACTAAACACCATTTCCATCAGCAATATATTAAACATAAATCATTATCGCAAATGTGTATTGGATTTTTACGAAATCTCTCTGCAATTCTGTAGAATTATTATAAACATTTATGAGAATTGCTTGCGCAATGTTGCGTGCGATATTTAATATTTCTTGACGTTTCATATTAATTTCCAACCAACTCACATATGAATTAAACACCTAACTGGCGAACAGAGCTATGTATTCGCGATTTACATACATAGCTTGTGTGAGAACCGAGACGGATATGCGGATATAGTGGAAGAAGCGCGATACAAAACGTGCGATCCAGAACATTCCACGTCCTTGGCACGTGATCGACAACAAGAGTAATACGAATTTTCAGAGCGGCGGAATACTTGCGGCACAATCGCGGCTCGTGCGAGACGCCGAAATTATGCGTTAGCTTTCCATATTGGCATCTCCGCTTTATATACAGAGTGTCCCGGGCGTCACTTATTCTCCCCCCCCCCCCCTGATTGCGCCAGATAGCCGAATCGAGAGAAATAACGACGCGTCCTTACATGTAGAAAATCCGAAATTGTGAAGAAAGGAGATTGGCGCGTGGCAAGTTTTAAGAGGACCAAATTGTCCTGTTACTCTCGCATCGCGCTTTCGCGAAATCACGCCATTTGCGTTCGCCGACTCATCTTCCGTTCTTTACATCTCTTTTACGAGCGACTTACGAGATACCCGATGCGCTCTAATATCTCGCCAAGGTTTCTATTCTCCGCCGAAGCCGGATATATTTCCACTTCGAGCGAGACATCGGAGATTTTCGGCAGGACAGGACACTTATGGCACTCGGCCACTTATCATCGACGTTCCGATATAATTCACCCTACGTTTCGGCCTTTCGCACGATGAGTCTCGTGTCTCCCGGGCTCTCTTCTGATCTTTATGGGCCCTTTAACTCTTTCTCTCTCCGCGATGTTTCACAGGGGCGACGTTCGATTTTCTAGCGGCCTCGCTCGAGTTCCGAGTGCGTCGTCTGTCGCATATTTCGAGGTCGGTACATCGGGCGGGTACTCTTTGCCCCCCGTGCGCGCCGCAATGCGACACCACCACGGAATCTGCGCCCTTTCTTCTCGTCTCTCATCGTATAGGGACGATGGAACGTTTTTTCTCCCTACGACGAATATCACTTCGTAGCGAAACGTCGCAAGACGCCGCGTCGGCCGCCACGTGTCGGCTTTTTGTGCGGGCGCAACATATAACGACGGTGTATATTTCGCGCGGATCCCGGCGAAACGTCTTAACGCGAAGAGAGATTCTTCCTTTCTAAGCGTGGAATAAATTTTACACTCGGAGAATATATTCTGGGATAGGATTGATCTGAAGAACGCATCTCTTTTTTACGTTTATTTATATAGCGAAGTGCGCGGAGAAATCCAACACGATTTAATTATCGCCAATCATCGTTAAAACGTCGATCAATTTGGACTCAGATTTGAATTTTCAACGCCCGGATTTTATTTATTCTTGCTGCACTTTTTTTAGACAATTAGAGAAATTAAATTATTGTACGCGTCGAATGGGAAATTGTTGGAAGTTGCAAGTGATAAAATTATCATCAGTACAATCAAGTGTAAACGCGGCTTCGGTGAGCGTTATCGAGCGAATCAATTTATTAGTACGGCCAAGGTTCGAATGTTATAGGCTTTACATCGCGTCTATTACGCCCTCGATAAGCAAAATGCGATTTTCCGAGAAACGTTCTAAGTATAATCCCGCGACAAAGAGATATGTAGAAAATAAAACGGCGTTCAAAAATATGAAGAAGACAATCGGAAGTCTTCGTATTTCTACACAATCCTCCCGGAGGCATCGACAAGGATTGCGGATAACAAATTGCGCGATATATGTAAATTTAATCGATCATTTGGGAAACAAAATAAGTCCATAATTTTCGAGGGGATAGAGGTGGGTAATGTGTGTGTGTGGAGTGTGTTGTAAGCGTGTGAACCTATACAGTGTGTACGAAAACAACGCGGTTGGTGTGTTGCACGATGTAGGCATCGTTACGTTCGAAAACAACAAATATTTCAGGAAATAGCGCGGTCTTCAGCAGGCCGGTATCGTTTCCGAAATAGATGAACTTTCGTGAACACTGGATCCAGCTAGAACGTACGAACTGCGAGTGGCACGCGTGTTTCACTTGGCTTCGACGATGATTGGCAAGCTTCTTGTGACCTTGCGTCGGATATCTGCCGCGAGATAACTCGTGCCGTCCTACTTTTGAAATCTTCCGCCGGCACTTTCCACCGACATCCGTCGGTTAAGAACCCCCGGTTCCGCGTTCTCTAATTTAATAGAAAGCTTTTTCATTGCAGGCGGCGCGGGTGATGTGGAAAAAAAAAGGTCAGGGCTTTTCCGAGTTTAGACTATAGATATAGGGAATCGTAGGTCCTAGATTCGTCCTGGAGACACTGATATATCGTCCCGACGTCCTTCCGCCCGTTCCTTACTTCCAGGGGCGCACACAGAAAGACAACCTCTTTACTATTTGATAAATATGCTTTTCATGAAAATTAAATATATATATAATTTAATTAAAGTTGGAAAAAAGTTTTAAGGCGCCCCAGATATATGCGAATTTCGTAATATAATTAGTATAAAATAGTCACAAATTCTTTAGATAAATTGTTGCGTTTCGGTAATCCTTACGATGAGATTTATTCATTGCATGATATTAAGCTCAAATAAGTGTTTGACTATTTTTAAGCTTTATTGTGCTAGTATTTTTAAATATTGGTTAATTTAATCAATGTAGAGGTTTGACAAGAGAAATTATCATTTATTGCACTTT